GCTAGAGAAACGGGCAAGTTTCTCAATAATACTCGAGAACGTGCTGTCGCACTCAGGCCACAAGTTGAGGTAGCCATTTTAAATGCTATTCAAGATGATCCACATATTAGTACTAGGAATTTATCTCGACAAATTGGTATATCGCAGAGTTCTGTGCATCGAGTTATCCGTCGCAATCTACTACACCCTTATCATGTACAAAAAGTCCAAGAACTTTTACCCGGAGATTTGGTTCAACGTGTCAATTTTTGTCAGTTTATTCTACACCAAGATAATAACTTCCAAAAGAAAATTCTTTTTACGGATGAGGCGACTTTCACTCGCAGAGGTATCACAAATCTCCATAACTATCATGAGTATTCTGACGTAAACCCACATGCAATAACTCCTTGGCATTTCCAACGTGAATTCAAAATTAATGTTTGGATGGGAATTATTGATCGATATTTAATTGGTCCTGTTCTTTTACCGAATCGGCTGAATGGTGAAAATTATTTAGAATTTCTACAAAACACCCTTCCGTATCTACTTGACGAGGTACCTTTACAACTAAGGTTGCAACATTGGTTTATGCACGATGGAGCACCGCCTCATTTTAGTATGAACGTAAGAAATTTTTTAAACCACCAGTATCCCAATAGATGGATAGGAAGAGGAAATAATTGCCCACAACGTTGGCCCCCAAGATCACCTGACCTGAACAAATGTGACTTCTTTCTGTGGGGAACGTTGAAAGAATTTGTGTATTCTTCGCCCGTTGCGTCTCAAGAAGAATTATGGAATCGCATTATTCATAAATGCACATCTATTAGGAATAATCAACAGTTATTAGATAGGGTGGATTTTAATTTTCGAAGAAGAATAAATTTATGCGTAAGAGAAAACGGCGATCATTTTGAACAATTTCTTTAATTTATCGATAAACAATTGTTTGTTCTGGTTGTTGTTTAAGTTTTTTGTGTTTATTTTGGTTAGTTGTTAATCCCAGTTTTTCACATTTCAGTATCTGTACTTACTTTAAGTTATTTTGTTACGTATCTAAATAATAATTTGCCAGCCAATTCCTACTGATCACATTAATGACCTACTTTCTTGTTTGACGTTTATTTTCATAGCCAACTTTTAAATTTTCGCTGATTTTAAATAACACACCTAGAGCGCGCGTTTTAAGTTATTCGAGTTTTTGATGAAAATGATGAGTTTTTTCGAAAAATTACTAGAGTAAGAAAAGTTTAAGAATTGAATTGCCCACAAAACAAAGCAAAGATTTTTAAAATCCATCAAGGGTTAACAAAATTCTGTTGAATATTAATGGTGCGCCACCCAGTATACCCCCTTTACAAATTTCAATTAAACTCTAGTTACTGTCAAGTAACGCCCTAAATACATCCACAAAGTGTACCAAATTTGGTTGCTTTAAGTTCAAGAATAACGGAGATATCGTTTTTTTTCAAAATGTATAACTTCACTTTCAAAGCCTATAACTCCTTAGGGAAGCAACTTGGTATAGAGGTAAGTTGCGTTAAATTGCCATATTTTGGGACCCCCTATATGCCCCTGCTCTATGTCGGTTCTTATGTGAATCACCCTGTATATTTCAACGCCCACCCTCGGTTATGAAACCCTGAACAAAAAAAAAATGAAGCAAAACAAAACGGAAGCGAACGGCTGATATAGTTGGCAGGTATTCTCAATCAGACTGCTTAAACTGGATACGGTGAAGGGGTCGCGCAAAAAAAAATTGTATTCGGAAATCTCAGACTAAAGTCAAAATTTAAATCTCGGATAGTAGGAATTTTAAATTTACAGCAATTACTCTCAAATCGCAACACACAAAAAAAAATCTAAATGTAAATCATGGATAATACGGATTCAACAATTTAAAACGGCAATTCAAAGCAAATCAAAATTTTGATCAATGATAGTATTACTTTTAAAAATTCCAAAATTTACGTTAATTTTCTTAAATCACAAAGAAAAATCAAAATTTAAATCAAGGATAGTATGAATTTTAAAAATTTAAACTGCGGCACTTCTGCAACTCGTGAGGACCACTTGAAATCTTTCTAAATGTTTGTTATGTTTTTAAAACCCTTGAAGCCAACGAGCAAGCTATGCTGAATCAAACCCACACTACCTCTTATTTATTATTATAACCCCAGGTCGGACAGGGATATCTAGGAAGGAAAAATAACACAGGGAACTTTAAGCCCTCACTGAGTTATTTGGGAATAGACAGGAAGGAAAACTAACACAGGGAACTTTAAACCCTCACTGAGTTAATTGCGGATAACTAGGAAGGAAAATTAACACAGGGAACTTTAAGGCCTCACTGAGTTAATTGTGGAAAGCTAGGAAGGAAAATAACACAGGGAACTTTAAGCCCTCACTGAGTTATTTGGGAATAGCCAGGACGGAAAAATAAAGGAACGGAGATTTTATATTCAAAACAGGAAATGATACCCTCTCCTTCGGTGAAACAAAATCCCGGAGAGTAAAACTAAACCAATAAAAAAAATGAACAATATTCAATTCCCGTATTTCCCACGGTTAGGAATTCAACAAATCTATTTTTTAAAAGTCTAAAAAAAAAACAAACTAATTCCTATCTTTTCCCAATTTAATTATTTAATAATTCTATTTACAAAGTTGATTTATATCGGAAGCAGCCCTCACTGTTCGAAGACGATAATAAAAAAAATAAACACGGCTGATATCCAAACAAGAAAATATTCTTCGACTGTTAATTTAATTATTAAATTTCGAAATTTTCAAACAAAATTATTTACGTGTTAAAATGTAATCTCAAACGGTGTTTATCTAAACTCGAAGCTACGGCAAAAAAATAAAAACGGTTTTTTTGTACTAACTGCGGTAAACAAGACGGTTTTGGCTCGCGGCGCTGGTATTCGACTTATCGACTGATTCTTTCGATCACTCGGAATGGAATTCAAAATTTCTCTCTCGATGTTCTCGTTCTGGGGTCGAAAATATTTACCAATGTCCCACGCATGATCAACTTAAGTGGGAGAAGGTACTCGAGAAGGGGTACGGTGTTGGCTGCTGGCGTTCGTTCTCGTTTAAAATATTAAAAATAATAAATTCCCAAATCTACAATTTTTTATAATATAAATTCAAAACCCTGGTTTAAAACGACTTTTGAAAACCATTGCTATATTGTGAAAGTACTATGGATTTTCGGATTATTATATATTTCAAAATAATAGATACAGGGTGAAGCCTAAAAGTTGATTTATAAATTAGAATAGTAACGAATAATTAATTTTATTAAATTGTCATGCCGGATTCTAATGAAAGTTAGATTTAAAATTATTATTAAGAATACTAATTCGGCAATTGAATAAAAAAATAGTAATGAAAAATGACTTCATTACATATGTTTTTTGAGTCGCTGATTTCGAAAAACGGGGTGCTGAGACTGGAAAATTTGTGTGACACCCCCCACATGCCAGGAACACCCCTCCCAACCGGTAGATTTTAGGGGTGGTTCAACCATTGCTGCAAGTTTCAACCCCGATTTTCGTAATCAGCGCCCCAAAAAACATATGAGATGAGTTAGTTTGCAAAACAGCAAGTACAGTCGAAAAACATCCCTATTTAGGGGTGTTTTTTTGCAATTTTAGGGGTGGTTCAACCATTTTTGCAAGTTTTAACCCCGATTTTCGTAATCAGCGCCCCAAAAAACATATAAGATGGCTTAGTTTGCAAAACAACAAGTACAGTCGAAAAACACCCCTATTTAGGTTTTTTTTTTTTTGCAATTTTAGGGGTGTTCCAACCATTGCTGCCAGTTTTAACCCTCATTTTCGTAATCAGCGCCACAAAATACGTAGGGGACAAGTGGTCGCGTCAAGTGCGGCGTTTCTCGACCTTTTACCAGTATTTTAAATGGACTAAATTGCAAAAGTTCATTGATGCATATCAGGAGAGGTGTCCCTCAGGGCTCAATTTTAGGTCCATTACTCTTTTTGATATACATTAATGAGCTTCCTGACCATATGCATTTTGAAAACCTTATCACATGTATATTTGCTGATGATACTTCTTTTTGTATTAATACTAAAAGAGGAACACATCATGATCAACTTTACTCTGATGTCATGATTCAGGCAAAGAGGTGGCTTTCTGTAAACGACCTGTTTTTAATTGACACAAACACTAGCTCCCAATTATTTACAGTAAATAGTGAACAAGTTAATAACAATTCTGTTAAAACATTTGGCATTCAAATTAATCCACATCTCAGATGGACAGATGATATTGAAGCACTTTGTTCCAAATTATCACAAGCAGTTTTTGCTATCAGGAAAATACTCCAAATATGTGGTCAAGATGCAGCAATTACTGCTTACTATGCTCTATTTTATAGTCATTTGACATACGGGACAATATGTTGGGGCAATGCTGCTGACAGACATATCTCAAGAGTCTATTTTGCAAAAATCAGCCATAAGAGCCATAACACATGCTTCTTGGCAAGCCAGTTGTAGACCAGTATTCCCAGAACTTAAAATTATGACACTCTATGCAGTAATAATCTAACAAAACCTTCTATTCCTAAGAAATAATATTAACACATTTTTTTCCCACTCATAACTATAATACAAGGATAACTTAGTTTCTATCCAGTATAGACTGGAAAGGACAAATAAATATTATATTGAGCTATACAATATACTACCACTTAATTTTAGAAATCAGCCTATTGATAAATTTAAACATGCATTAAAACAAATGTTATCCAATAATTGCCCATATAGCTTAGAGGAATTTAAATCAATACAGATGGAGGCTGTCACTGTGGCCTCTGAGTGATTCAATGAACTATGTTGTAAATGTAATATTTTCACAGTTAAATAAAGATATTGTATTGTATTAAAAGAAAAGTTTTTGTCAAAATCAATGACCGAATAGTTGTTTTAAAGCATAAGTCATTTAGGAACTTTATTTAGATGATCGACTTTTATTTGAACACTTACTTTAATAATTCTTGTAGATTACTATCTCTAACTACAGTTTGTTCCTCATTTTTGGCTGGAGGATCCCAAAAATTGGCTTGCTGAGCAATAGCAGATGTACTAGCAGTAGCAGCAGCAGCATTTCTATTGGCTGCAACAGCAGTATAAGCTTTTGATAATAGCTGCAAAAGCAAGACACACATCCTAAAATGTAACTAAACCTTTCATTAAGTATGTACTCACGGTTAAATGTTTTTGAATATGTTGTTCTAAATGCCTTTGTAGCTCCGGTTCATCCTCAAACTTGTCTTCACAACCCACATCAATGAATGAACATCGTAACTTTTCATTATCCGGTAATTCTGGAATTTTAAATTCACAAACCAGAAGATGAGATTCAACATCTAGAGGAGAAAGTTCCTCTAAACAACCTCTAACAATATTAGGACATTTTGTACGCTGCTGAGATATTTCCCTTCTTGTGAAATTATCAGGAAATACATCTTCCTTGTTAAGCTTCATATTATCTACTGGACAAGCACTATTTTTTCTATAATATAAATATAATACAAGTTTTATCATCTACACCAAAATTAAACAATCACTTACTCTAACCAAGAATATATGCAAGTTCTACAAAATCGGTGGCCACAGGAAGTCAGAACTGGATCCCTTAACCAAGCTAGACAAATTGGACACTCAAATCTAGCTTCAGGGGCTGAATAAGCATCGTTTATTGAACTTTCTTGAGCTACAGAAATTTCGCTTTTGTTTGTATTATAATGGTCAGAACCGCTGGCCATTTTATGCGCTAGGTTTAAGCCAGCCACTTCCTGGAAATCTATATTATGATTAATATGTACCCCACCCACCTGTTAAAAGTATTAATTTAATAACAACAAATATAAAACACCTGTTCGCGGCCTTGTTCACCAGACTTGTCCTTGACTCATATTCTTTTTAATTTTTCGATGGCCTCCTCTCATGTTTTTAATGCGTTCTGAAATATCTTCTCCCTTTTGGTTGTTTCTCGAAGAAAACTATAATAAAGTTTGATTTTTGATACCGATGATTATAACCATAGAAGTTGATTATAACGGTTGATCCCAAGGTTAAGCTCTTTAAAAAAAATTACTTGACCAACTGGTTTACAAAATATGTGTGAGAATAAATATGCTTTTTTGAGGTTTTTGCCGGGTTTGTTGACAATCTGGATAAACTAATAAAAAATAAGCCAAAATAGTCCAATATCACTTAGATATAGAAATTACTCAAAAGTATTTTAAAAAATATATTTTTTATTTTTAAAAAAAATTGTGGCCTTTTTCTGTAAAAAATTCAGTGATTCTGCAACCATCAAAACAGTTTTTGCAGCCTGTGGACTGTCACCTAACGATAAAGGCCCAAAATCCATGCAAAAAGAAGACGTTCTTAACCTAAAATCTAAAACTGTTTTGTATACGTCAAATTCCAGAAAATTTATAAATATAATGTAAATATTGCTAATCAAATAAATTACCCAATTGGTACAATGAGTCGTTTACAACAAGAAAGTGTTGAGAATCGAAAAGAACATAAAATCCAAGAAAATATTGCTAAATGGCAATCTGTAGAAGATCCTCTAGCCCCTTTGTCAGAACAACAATTGGATGTTATTTACGAGTTAGGCGATTTGGTGTCAAATTTATATAGTAAAACTGAGGCAGATAAAATAGAAGAGGTAACTAAAAAAGGAAATGAGGTACCAGATGTAATTTATAAAATGCAAGATTTTATTAAATGGACAATCGCAGTCGAAGAAGATATCAAACATGAAAACCTAAAAAGATTCCAAAACTACTACGAAATGCTTGCACAGTATCAATCTAAATCGAAAAATCTTTATGATTTATCCAATAATGCTTTAGATTCTTTAAACAGTTTAAAAGAAAATTATGAGAGTGTTACTGAAAAAACAAACTATTTACATGATCTTAGTGAGCAACTTATGGCAAACCAACGGATTCTTAAAGAAAAGAAACAACTTTTAAATAGCAAACTACAACATTTTACAAATTTTAATAAATGCCAGGAAAGTATTGAGAGATTAGGAAATAGAGTGAATACTGAAGATTGTACAAACGTTTTAGATAAAATAGATGAAAGTGTAACCTATTTGAATGCACATCTACATTACAAAGAGTCTAGAATTTACAAAATGAAATATGAAAGCTTGTTGAATAATATACTTAATAAAATATATGACTATGTTAATAACATTTTAATAGAAACTACAAAACAGGTAATAGAACCAGATTTAAAGATTCAGACATCTAATGCTCCAAATTTTGTTGACTCTGCTTTCTCTCTGTACTATGGAAAGTTCCAGAGTGTTTCATCCAAAGTTAAATTTGTTTTAAACAATCTTGAAGACCGAGAAGACAAAAATGAGCAGTATAAAAATGTTCTAAGTGACTGCAAAAAATCATTCTTTGCTCAAAGATTGCCTATATTAAATGTTGCTGTTGGAAAAGCCTTGAATGAGTTGAAAGAAAAGTACCAGAAAGATCATAGTGCTTTATTCAGATCCTGTAGTTTATTCACTTTAAAAGTTTGCCAAGATGAGGCAACATGTTACAGTTATTTTTTCTCTAAACAGTCCAGTCAATTGAATGATTATTTAGGGACACTTTGCCAACATTTGTATGATACTTTAAGACCAAATTTAATCACTATTAATCATATAGAGGTCTTATGCGAGTTATGTGGGATTCTGAGAACAGAGCTGTTGAATGAGAAGGTAATGGATATGTATCAGTTAGGTAAATATGTCGAGGTTATCAGGCAGTTATGGCAGGACGTCGAGGAGCGCCTTGTTTTCAGGACAAATGTATTTTTCCAACATGATCTTCTTAATTATAAACCGTCACCTGGCGATTTGGCATATCCAGAAAAATTGGAGCAAATGGAATGCATTGCAGTGGAGTTAAAAGAGAGATCTGATTCCAGAAGCTCAGTTGTATCCTTAGAATCACAAGAAGTTGCTCATATAAATGCAGCAGAAATGGCACATTTTCGGTCATATACTGGTAAATAAAATGCTATTTTATTATTAAACAATTTATTTAGCAATACTTTATTAGTAGATATGTGGAAACATCTGGATTACTTCAAATTGCTGTAACTCTCTAATTTAGGGAGGATTCAATGTTCTAAAATCTGAACTTACAACAAAAATGAAAAGCAAATTTATCTTCTTTATTCTTCTACTGCTGTGATTTTTGAGCTCTCATGTCTTCTGGCTCCTTCTTATACCTTGATTACTGCTTCTTTTACCTTCCTTTCTGGTTCCTACTATTTTGTTTTTGCTCATCTTACTGTCTCAGCTTTTTTTAAACTACTATGTTCAAAATACAAATTCTTTCTTTATCTTTTCTTTTATTCTTTATTTTAATTACTCTCCAAATTTCAGCTTAACTCTAATAGTAACATTCTAAATAATCCTGACAATTTTAAAATCCTTTCTGTCAATTTTCAATCAATAATTTTCTATTTTCATAACACTGGATGAGTCAACAATGTTTTAATTAAAGACAAGGGTAGTAGTAACAATCTGATAGGTTCGCTACTGTATGGCGGTTCATTTTTAACCTGTCAGAAGTGCAATTGTTGCAAATTACAGTTTATTTCAGATTTTACCAATTGAAAAATTAAGTCTAAATTTCACCATATATTTATTATCATTTAGAATATGTATGTGTCATTTAAAGTCTACAAACTATTGTTTATATATTATTAATAATGTTAAATGTAAAGACTGCTCATTTATTAATTAATCAAATATCATGTCCCTAACATACAGTAGCGTAACTAGAACTCATTTTTTTGGAGGGGGCACTAGGACAGTTCCTTTTATAAATCTAAAATTGGTATAAGTGGTATTAAAACACTTTTTAGCTTCTTCAAATATTAAAACTTTATTTTTAATTAGAAAAATTGTAGTGTATAAGAAACAACTTTACAAAATAAAATGAAACACTTACCTATTCTAAAATAAAAACTACCAAACAAAAACTAAGAAACAATAACTAAGCACATATTAAAAACAAAAAAAAAATAATATTTTAAACTAACTAAAAACTATGAATTTTCAATAGATGGTATATAAACAGCCACTTTGATGTTTCAAGGGGGGGAAGCACGAGTCCTCTAATTACGACACTGCTTAAGGGGGGAGGGGGGTAAAGTTAATTTGTGCAAAAAGGCACATCTTTGTGATTTTTTTTTGACGACACAGTTAAAATCTGTTTATTTAAACTAATGGTACATTAATGTATAACATTCAAAGAATATTGTGTCAAATTTTCATGTAGAAATATTAAAAAATACGGAAATGGCAGCATTTATTCAGAAGCGTCTCGGAAAAAAGAAGAATTGCGGTGCCCCTCCTAACTTGGTGCTGGATCATCAGAAACAAAAAATCAAAGTTCTTTCGATAGATAATCGTTTTCCCCAGGTAACGCTGTGAGGGTTCTACGAAATTTCAATTTTTCACACTTTGAAGTAAAAAATGGATTCTTGCGAAAAAATAGGCTAATTTGCTATTATAAAATAAAAAAATATTATCAAATTTGAAAAAACTTTCCAGCGTTACCTCGTAAATTATGTACAGAAATAGTGTTTAAAATTTCAAAAGGATAGGTGCAGTAGTTTTGAAGTTATGACATGTGGGAAAAACGCTTTAAAGTTTTGAACACTAAAAAAATTCGAATGAAACGTTCATAAGCGAGTTTTACGGGCTTATCTCACACTGAATCATCAATGCCAGGTCCATAAAGGATGTTGCTATCATCCATGATGTCTAAAGTATCTTTTTGCTCCCGTCTACGATGAATCCTCATTCATGAGCGCTTGATCCACTACTGATTCCTATGTCTTGTATGTAGGTTATTAAAGCAAAAGAACATGCCAGGCCAGTGCGACACTAAATTATATACAGTACAGATATAAACACGTTTGTACGTGTGTTAAAATTTCTATAAAGAAAGGTAGGAGGTAAGGTTAGGGATCATATAGTGAGCAAAACAGCTGCCAGGCAAGGGCTGCACCGAGACAAATTTTCGGTGGAGGCCATTGCCCCTTTAGCCATTCTCGTTTTAGCATATTTTTTTGAATAAAAGGCTCATAATTCGTAAGAATTTTGATCTCGGTGGGGAACATGGCCCCCTTCCCTGGAGCCGCCCTTGCTACCAGGTAATAGTGCGCTCGGGCCGGGCAGGTATTTTCTGATGTCATGTATGAAGCGCGGTTACTCAAACCGCTGTATCTTTGTTAGTTTTGCTCCGATTCATCTCAAATTTTCACACAATATTGAAAGGTTTTCCATTCACAAAATCAAATATAAAATAATGCAAAAAAAGTTTAAATAACTGTTAGATCACCAACTATTTATTTTTTATTTTGAATTTTGAGACAGTTAATTAGTTCTTCATCAGATAGTTTTTCAGACATACCAACAATTTTGAATCTAGGATTTAAAACTGGCACTTCCTTAATGGTGTAATTATTAGCAAGCTTCTCATCAGCCAACTTTTTGAATTTATTGGAATCTTCTGAATTCTCACAGCTCACCACGAGTCCGCCAGTTTGAAAGATATGTATTTGAAGAAACTGTATTAATATTTTTTACCATGTCATTTTTTGTTGAAGCAAAGTCTTGTTGTTTTTCGGTTTGATTAAATATAAAGGATGCTTCTTTAGGACTTCGTTAAATAATGGTTAAGAACTTTCTTTAGATGATGATTTGGATGAATTTGAACTGGTTGAGGAAAGTTTTGGCAAAATATTCTGATTGAGTTCTAGTTTTAATGCCTCTAGAACATTATCTTTTATATCAAATATCTCATCAACTTTTTTCTGAATTAGCTCATGAACTTTACCAATAGCTTCATTGATTAGAATTAACTGGTCACTATTATCTTTTCTTGAGTTTTTTTCGGCTATATCACATTTTTTCTTACAAACATCACAGAAAAAAGAGAATGACATCATAAATAACTTTTATTATGATTCCTATACTTTCCTTATTTGTACACAGAGAGGAAAGTAAAAAATGGCCGTGACCGTATTTTCTTAGGCAACCCATTTGCGGTATATTTAAAAACATATTTTATTTATTAAAAAATAACTTTTATCCATTAAACAGGTGAGTGAAGGTCGACCTTACTTACGGACCCTGGACTATAAAATTAAAATAGGCACTTCAAATATTTTATTTTGTATGGATTATTACCTATCTAAAAAAAAATAAAATTGGCGTAGAAACATCCCGGAGTCGAAACGGCCGCCGTCGAAATGTCCTCGCGTCGAAACGGCCGCTTCGAAATGGCTGCGTCGAAATGTCCTAGACCATATATCACATTTTTTCTTACAAACATCACATAGAAAAAAGAGGTTTTTACTTTTAGAGAGCATGGTAAATTCAATATTGGTCAACCCTATACATGAATAATGAAACCATTTCGAACATATTCCTTCACATCCGACTAGACCTTAATTTTTATTAATTTTACATTTATGGCATTTCAAATCACTCATTGTTCCGCCTCTGGTAACTGATTCTCAAGCATTACAGGACAAAAAACTAGACTATCGGTATAGAGGTTAAAATGAAAGTAGAGGAATCTTAATTAAATAAGCACCCAGAGAGCATTTGAACAAAAAAAAATTACTGACATGGGTTTACAACATGTACTATTACACTGGGACGTAATATTAAAAATTTTAAATAACAATAAACCACAAAATTTTAAGGTATTACATGGAGTAACTAAAAACATCATTCGACCACTGCAGTGGTGTTAGAACAATGAAATATTTTGTTGCAGTCCCAGCAATGGTAAAGCGGTCAATGAAGACGTCTTAAATACAGCCATTGTAGGAAATACTTATGTCACATATTTGATTAGATAATTGATAGTAGCCTTCATGGCGCAGGTTGTTAAAGCGCTTACCTTTGAATTTCGCGATCCAAGTACAATTCTCGATGAAAGCAATCTTTTTTATTTTAAAAAATAATATGAAAAAAAAATTTATTTATTTAAATTACATTTTATTCATCATAATGTATCCTCTACAATTAAGTAATCCTTTAATATTTCCGCTGTTTATTTTATACTATTCTAAATTGTTATCTATTAGCATAGAGCATTCGCAAATAACATTTTTGATGTAGAACTTTTATTTTTTTTTAGGAAATTCTCCAGCTGATTTACATGGCATGTGGTATCCCACTGTCAAACGCACTCTAGTTTGCCTTTCGCGTTTGTATTTTTGTTTGGATAGAAACACTTTCCAAGGTTTAGCGCAAGAAGCTCTTGTAATTTGTATCGAGACCGTTCAGGCGGCGGCCTCGCTCATATCGGCCCGTAAGACGAAGGTGGACGGTTTTCTTTTTCAAATTAAACATTTATTGATTATCCGTGAGCAGATTGCTCCTTTTCAGGTAAGGATAGTAGTAGGTGCAAGAATGGGATGAATGATTTTCAGCCCAATAGAGAGAAAAATATGATGTTCAGTTCCCGTTATACACGCTTCAGCGTTATTGGTCACCTCCAAGACATTTAATTTGTAAATGCCATTTCACCCTCAAAGGAACATGAGTATTATTATAGAATTTAGTCAGAATCAAGATATTATTAATTTTAGATTGTTTATATTGTTCTGTTGTTTTTGAATTAGACTTTTGTATTTTTCTGGAATATGAGTTGTCAATCTTATGAGAAGAATTAACATCTTTTTAATTCAGCTAACTTTGAATAACAATCAATTATTCTGAACATACGGAGTCAAAAATGATTTTAATTTCCGACATAATCTCATTGTCGCTGGATACATTTCGCCTAATAGAATTCAAGGCACGAGGTTAAAACTTGACAAATTTTAATTTTGGATTGGTACCTGCAAAAATTAGGAGTGTTTTTACCTAGGAAACATATTTGTTCGCTGGCTACATCACTAAGTATATAAACACTAATTTTATTTAACATTATGCAACCTTTGTCTGTGACATTAATGCACAGCTGTTTACTGTCAAATTTTCAGTGACCTAGTTTCTTTTTCTAACCAGATTTCAATTTCATCTGATCAAGAAGGTTCAAACATAACCTAATTTATCATATAAACAATGAACATTTCTGCAATAAAATTTTAGGAGCGAAAATTCCCCACTTCACCTTAATAATTTTCAATAAATTCCAAAACCTAGTAAATATGAGGTAATTTTGCTGATTTCGCCCTATATATGTGTTTTTTAGAATGGGCTGTATGAATAGATTATTGATTTGGGTATTCAAACTGCGACACCACATTTAAGAGTTTATTACATTATTATTATGTATACAACAAAACGAACAAGTTGTTGACACGAAAATACAGGCACAACAATGCTGGAATACGTCAAGTATGAGGCTGCTTGCTTTTCTAACTGCTTCCCTTAATAACACTTCGAGATAATAACTTTTAATTCAATTTTATAGAGAAATAATGTTGGTTGCATAATGCTAGATGCGGTTTAGTAGTTAATTATATAATAAGGGGCGAGAGGAACAAATATATTTAAATTCAGTGTCTAGCGGCGTAGGGGAAAGAGGAGTAAAATAATTTGATGTATTCTGGCGGAGAATAATGGTAGTTATTTTCCAACAGTTAAGTTGGAAGTGGCAACATGGCTTACACCGGCATGGATATCTACGTTATTATAAGTGCACATCGCTTACACTCTGACTAACACATTTATTCATTGATAAAATAAAGTTGTATCTGCGTAAAATCCTTCTCTTTCTGCCCTCTCTTACTTCTCACCTTTCGTCTCCTCGCCGCGGACCTACAAATGGAGCGTATTGATTGTCGAATTAATCTTGCCATCGTGAATATTATATTTTATCAATGAATGGTTATATCTGTTATCTCTGCATCCAACTCTTCAAAATAGGCATTTGTGCTATCGGCCTGAAATTAAGTTTAGAAATAAACAACTCCGAAGGGGCCAAGTCTGGTGAGTAGAATGTACGGAATGGTAATTTAAAACCCATTTTATTAATTTTAGCCATGGCAATAATGGGTTTGTGACAAGGTAGATTGTCCTGATGAAACGACACTTTATTTTCGATAACCTAGGTGTTTTCTACAGAATTTTTTATTGCAGTTGATAAAACAAGTTATTATAATATTGACCACTGATTGTTTTACCCCTAAATTGCACCCCAACATACCGAGGCCATAACCTTTTCAGTCGATGGAACCGTTTTCGCCTTAGGGACTGGTTCGCTTTTTGCTGTCTATTCTCTTGACTGTTGTTTGGTCTCTGTCCATAGTTATCAGTCTTCATACGAATTACTTTTTGCTTTGATGTGAGCAATCGTGTCCAAATTTTGCATAACATGTGAAGTGTTTCGCTGTTTTGATATCTCCACAGCCTCAGCTGTTTCTACCAAAATCAAATGACGGTTATTCAGAACATTTTTATGGATTTTCAGAACTATATTTTTCGTCATTGCTGATCGTGGAGTACCCGAACGCTCTGCATTCTTAGCTTGTACGGCTACGCTTAAAATCTACACTGAATGTTTTGATCGTTAAAAAAGATGTAGCAGGCTGGCTCAAAGTAGAGTCTAGCTCAGCTTTCGTGGGACTTCAATCTTTAATGTTAAAATATATTATGACAGTTTCAAGTTTCTCCATTGTCAAATGCACAATCCATTAGGCACAATTTTACAATATTTCATAAAAGATTATGACATGACTTTAAATGAAACAAACAAATGATGAAAATTACGGCTCGAAGGACCATGTTTAATAGACCTTTAGAGTTTTTTTTTTGTTAATTTAGGTTAACACTACAACTGTTTAGTTTTGGATCGCTTTATTTCTAAAATCAACCATTAGTTATTAAATCATAGATCCTAACTTGATATTTTAAAATAATATTTTTATACAATGAAAGAATTAAATTATTTTATATACAGGATGTTCTTTTATTTTCTTGATGTTCAAGATTGAACAATAGGTCAGGCTGGAAATTATTCATCCCACTCTCGTAGGTTTTACATTAATTTTTTATTAGTACTAGGGCTAGTTTAATTTTGCAGACAGCAAATAGTGTTAAACCTAGATATTTATTTTAGGTGGATTTTACAGTGAAAGAAACAACATTGGATTTCAGTACGGTCCAAAAGGCCGCAATGGATCTGATAAGTCACAGAAATAAAATCTTTACTTTTGGATCTCACAATGCTTTGTTGGAATTTTTATTAGAAGGCACTCCTAAAGTTAAGGAGTATCTTGTCGATTCCAGAAAAGAGATCGACAAACAATTGAAGCATTCCTGTGAAACGTTCATTTTGCTTGCAACCCACATACTTGTCGGTAAGTAACTAAAGAATCCATTGCTACCATGTTAGAGCTATTTAATCTAATGACTAATTACTACTCTTTTTGAGTTTTATTTCTTCGTTTACTTGATATAAATAAATTGTCATTGTATTGATTGATTTTAGTAATAAAAAAAATATATACTGTCACGAAAATCAAATCTATTTTATTTGTTCTGGTTTATGATACTTATTAAACTAAATATTGCTTAAATCTGTAACAATTTATCTAGAATATTATTGTAACGAAACATTTCAGGAAGTATTCTTCAATGGGCTCAGTTATCGGAGAACTATCTGCAAACACTTGGTAAATTAGATGAAGCATCTCAAGATGTGAGTTTACCAAAAAAGGAATTCGCGACAGCCCAGCTACTGTCTACAACGATAAACGAAGTTCAAAAAAATATAAAAACGAAAATTCCCGAAATCCAAAGGTCAATGCAACTGTATCTCGCCAACAGAGAAACGGAATTTATCCTCTTTCGACCGATCAAGAACAACGTCATCAATGCTTTCATGCAAGTCGACCAGATTCTGCTGAGAGGGGGCTATAGCGATGAGGATCAGTTGCTGGTTGGATGCCCTTCGCCTGAACAGGTCAATATCTTGATTTGTTCGGTGTCACTGACCACTGGACAGGATACTAAAACTGTTACTGTTTAATTGTGTATATTTTTGTTAAAAATTTGTTATTCTTATTTTGTAATATATTTTCTTTATACAGTCGAATGTGTACAATTTGTTCGAAAATAATCCTCAACTATTCCAGGTTTTATCTAAAATAGTTAAATAATGACAATCATTTTTCAACTAATTAATTGAACATTTCAATTATACCTGTTATTTTGTAGAATAGGTTAGTGAGAAAAACAAAAGACAAAACAGTAGATTTTTATCCAAAGACTTTCCTGTAAAGTTATCAAATATATTTAGTAATGCCCTTAACGTGTGTCTTTTTTTCCACCGGTTTGTTGCAACCGTTGTTTCACCGATGCGGCCTTGAACGTTTTGTGTTGAAATAAATAACAGTCTCATTCGGTTGACCGAACCGTTAAGACTACATGAGCAACGTCTAGATGAACTGGAGGGGAGCGGTGATCAAAGCTAGCACTTGTGACGAAGTCAGAAGGCAAGATTTCTCAGAATAAAGATGGAGAAAACGTAAACAAGAGGAAGTATTGGAGAAAGGTGCGTTGTATGGCTGTAGAGAAGGCCATATTAAGCGAAACTGTGTGAAATCAGGCCTGTCCTCTAAAAGCAAAGGGAAAAGTTTTTTTGCAGCTTTTGGTGCGGAGAAGGGTCTTGTTGGCTGGATCCTAGATTTAGGTGCTGTTCCCACATGACTATATAAGAAAAAGGAACGCTAAATTTTAATAATGAAGAAAAGAAGAGCATCACTGTGCCAAATAATGAAGCCATCAGATCTAAAGGTAGAGGTAATGTAAAGGTAACTCTTGCGCATGATTTGGGTAATATAAATATAAAAAATGTCGAATATATTCCTGATTTGTCTATTAATTTATTATCCGTTGGAAAAATAACCGACAACCATTTTTCTGTAGTTTTTTTTTTTTAGACAAAGGAGTCAAAATTTATGATGCTAATAGTTTTTTTGTAAAAGGTCACTTAGTCGCTACAGCAGTTAGGGATGTGAGCTTATATAAGTTAGACATTAACGAAACTGGTAGTTGCGAATTTGTTAATTCTGCAATAGAAATAGAGAATTTATGGCATCGTACAATAGGACACTTAAATGTGAAATATATGAATATGTTAAAGACGGGTATGGCAGATGAACTAGATTTTTCAGATCGTCACATAAAGTTATGCATTTCTTGCGTAGAATGTAAGCAAACTAGGTTGCCATTTTCAAAGAAAGACAAGAGAAAAACTAATATCTTATTAGAATTGGTCCACACTGATCTCTGTGGTCCAATGGAGTTAGGTTTCGTTCGGTAATTCCCGTTATATGCTTGTTTTTGTAGATGACTATTCACGTATGACTTTCGTGTATTTATTAAAATCAAAGAATGAGGTGCTTGAGTCGTTTAAAAGTTATGGTTGAGAACCAAACTGGTCAAAAAATTAAGTGTATACGTAGTGATAATGGAACTGAATATGTAAACCATTCAGTACGTTTTTTTTTTTAGTCAACATGGCATACGCCATGAAAGGACGGTTCCTTATACCCCTGAGCATAACGGTGCAGCAGAGCGTGCTAATCGAACAATTGTGAACAAATCACGTACCCTGATGTGTGATGCTGGACTAGAGAAGTGTTTTTGGGCTGAAGCTGGAAATGCAGCAGTTTATTGGAAAAACCATAGTCCTACGACAGCTGTTCCAGGAAAGGTACCGATGGAGGTGTGGTCAGATAAAAAAGTTGATGTGAGTCACCTCAAGGTTTTCAGGTTTGTCACCTACAAACACACACCAAAACAGAAAAGGGACAAGTTTGACTCAAAGAGCAAACGTCACTTTACGTCTGTGGATATTGATGAACCGACAACGGTTCAACAAGCAATGTCTGGACCAAATTAGGTAGCTTGAAAAAAGGCCATGGAGGAAGAGTACGAGACTGCAGAACAATATGACATGGAAGTTAGTTGAATTCCAATAGAGAAAAAGGTAGTAACGAACAAATGGATGTTCAAAGTAAACAAAATTGCAACGGATAAGTGAAAAGGTTTAAAGCTCAGTTGGTTGCAAAAGGTTTTACGCAAAAAAGGGGTTTAGACTATGAGGAAACTTTCTCTCCAGTTGTAGGTTTTACAGCTCCAAGAATGCTTTTAGCTCTTGTAGCTGAACGATGTTTACATATTCATCAAATGGATGTAACCACTGCTTTTATAAATGGAGAGCTGAAGGAAAATGTAAATATGTCACAACCGGAGGAGTTTGTAGTTAAAGGACAAGCAAATTTGGTTTGTAAATTGGAAAAAGCACTTTATGGGCTAAAGCAGGCATCGAGATGCTAGTACGAGAAAATTCAGTTTCCTTTGAATGAAATAGGGTTTAAAAAATTGAGTGAACCTTGCGTATTTACTAAAGTTACAGAAAGTAATGTTTTCGTTATCGCTCTGTATATTGATGATTTGTTACTTTTTTATAATGGCGAAGATGAGAAAAACTATGTCCAACAGTGTGTCATGAAAGCTTTAAATATGAAAGACGTAGGTTCAGTGGAACATTTTCTTGAAATGGCTTTTGTAACTGATGATCAAGGGATCCATGTGGATCAAACACGTTATATTGACCCCAGGTTCTTAAACGATTCGAAATGACGAACTGTAATGTGGTTGAAACCACATACTTTGATTTTCTTTTACTATACGGAGAATGGTCGTACTGCGCAGCTTTCTGAGTGCCTTTTAAAAGGAGATAGAAAACTCCGCCATTTTGATCCCTTATTACGTGTTGCCTACATCTTGGCGCAATATTTTTAATAGGTGCGTTTTAATCATCCGCTTCTGCTTCGGAATTGTCGGTTTTCTCGTTTTAATCTGACAGGTTAAAACGAACTCACCTATAATGTATGTATAGGCGAGCTCGGATAGTCAGGGGCTGGAGCGGGACAAAAGAGGAGTTTTTTAGGATGCTTTTAAATAACATTTAAGAGTGTTAAACTGTCACTAATCGGACTAAACCGAACGCTAAAAGGGACGTTTGGAGTAAAAAGTGTTAAAGCAGTTAGAGGAACTTGGCAGACCGAACGCAATGTATGTGTATGTTTTAGGTGTAGTTAGTTATTACATTAAAAGATGCCAACTTGGAGTAGAAACAACTGTTTTCGACCAAAATCAGAGGGACAAGGGACTGTCCTATGATAATATCAAACAACTGCTGTGTGTTCAAGGAATTGATCGAACTAACAGCAAAATAGAGTTTAAGATCGTCTGCAAATAATAAAAATTTACAATACACAAATAAAAATAAAACAAAGGCAAAAGAGAAAAGATCAAAGACCGTGTTCCAGAAACAACTAGCGACCATTTCCCTCTTGAAAACAACTACTCCTTTGGCTAATACTGCAACAGGCATTGCATTGTATCAAAAATTTTGCTTCCTAAGGAGAAAGTCATTCTTGGACTGGTTTCGTCATTATTAGGACTCTTCAGCAAGATATAGACAATCTTTATTTCTTGTTCCTGCATTCCTGTAATATTTCATTAAAAAATCATGTATTTTTTAAATGTTTTATTTTATTACATATTAAATATAAATATTAGACTCAAATCATTCTATATAAATATACATATATTAAAATAAAAAAAATATGTTCAGTTTAAATTGACATTTTTTACATTTTCACCTTAAACTAAATATTGACCTATACCGCACTATGTAATTGATCTCACCATACTTTTCGATATCTTTTGTTAATTGCACAGTGTCAAATTAGCTGCAGCATGAAGCCTTTCCTTCGGAAACATCGCTAATTGCGCTATCGGTTAATCTCAAGGCAGTCTGGGTCATGGGGATAAATTGTTTACGGTTTTTCAACTTATGGGCTAAAGTTAAAAAAATTGCCTCTACATTATCACATTGCGAGTCTAATCTCGCCGAAGTCTCGAATAACTGAAAAAGATTTTTGACCTTTTATTACATTTTTTACCAAAATCAATTTTCTAAGAGCTGCGTGTGAATATTTTTCGTTTAATTCAGGTTCCTAATACATTTTTTTTCTATATGCTTTGCTTTCTTATTTTATAAATCCGAAGAATTTAGTTAAAAATATTTTCATGTATACAGGATTATCCAGTATTATAATAGTATGTTACGTGAAATTAATTTCAAATTTATTTTTAACCAACTTCTCCATAACCCCTCGTAACACAACTTAAACATAAGACCACTGCTCGCTTTCCATTATCGATTTTTACAAAGCATCGTTTGCGCATGGTTTGCTGTTCGGCGCACAGTCCGCCATAGAGTTTCTTTGGGCAACCAGTCCTTATAAAACCCTATTCGTTCGGATTTAATCTTTCTTTTTGGTGTTCGAATTCAAAGTGCTAGCTGTGCCGATAAATATATGAGTTGCTAGTAATTATCTGTATTGCATGTGTCTATTGTGTGTTAACGTTGGGATAATTGTCAGTGGCTCCAAGAAGAGGCTACTCTACGAAGCTTAAGATCCTCCAAGAAGAGGCTCTTCTATGAAACTTAAGATCCTTCAAGAAGAAGCTCCAATAAAATTAAACTCCTCCAATAAGCTTTAAGAAGCTCCAGGCTCCTCCACGAAGCTTAAGATCCTCCAATAAGCCTAAAGAAGCTCCTAGTTGCTCCAGGAAGCTCAAAGAGAAGTACCGAGTTACGTAATTGCTCCCAGCTCTAAGAAACAAGAAGCCCCAAATATCAAAGTACCTAAAGGCGGACATTTTTTGATAAAAATTATTTTTTGGAGACAGTTTAATGCCATATATCCTTATTAATAAGATCCACATTGTATTATTTACAAAAATGTGGAATCGTAAATTATTATCCGATCACTTTGTATACATGAACCTATTTTTCAATTATTTCCTTTTGAACTGTCATAAGATAGGGAACACTATATACAGCACACGACAGTGAGTTGCATATAGTGGGAGATTAGAGATAAACAATAAGATGACTTGACGAATTGCCGAGCATGTGTCTACTGATTTTAAGTTATTACAATAAAGCAGTTAGTTTTAAATAATATATGCCCACTAATTATTAGTAAAACACAATTACGACATAAACAAAATCACATTTTAATTCTTACCGGCATATTATACTGATCGGCAAACCTTTGAGCAACGTTTGTTGTTACAGCTGCAACGCCATCGCATTTGTTGCCGACTAAAATTTTTGGTACATCGTGAAGGCAGTTTGTGTTGCATTCTTCTATCCATTTTTTTAAAGAATCAAATGACGGTGCACTCGTTACATCATAAACAAAGACGACGGCATGAGCATTTTTGTAATAATGACGTACCATTGACATTCGATATCGCTCTTGACCTGCTGTGTCCCATAATTGCAACTAAAAGCAATAATTACTTAATGGTGAACAAGTACCACCAAATAACTTATTTATTTATAACCAAACAGACAAAGGCCTTATTACATGGTTAAAAAAAAAAAACAATAATACATTATAGCTTATTATTCAACATTTATTTTATCTAAGAATTGTAGAGGTTTAAACTAGTTCACCAGAGTTGTTCTTGTTTTATATAGAAATATTTAAGATGTGGCTTAATATACGATGATAAAATATTGTTTGTGGCAAATATCATCTACATTCACCAACAAGTTATTGATTAATTTCAAAATAATTACAAGAGGTGCCCTAATTGTTAAAAGTATATGTGATATATGAAATATTAACATTGTGCGCATACACCGCCCAGGAACATTGAATGAAATCATTTCGGGGCTATTAATTTTACCGTTAATAACATAACTGCAGATAAAGTTCTTCTTTGCTCCAATGACAATATTTTAAATTCATTTCTGAGATGACTTTATCTGACTGTATTATAGTAAGGCTAGATACGATATTTTTAAAAATATAAATATAAAAAATTTATTCTAAACCTTCTCTACTATTTTCAAGAAAGTTGTGTATTCTGAAAACCAAAGAGTTGATGCGAAATCCAATTTAGGTCTGACTAGAGTAAAATATAGCAACTTTATGGTGTCAATGTTGGTAAAATTTGCTGTTTGTCTCATTACATATCTCAATGTGTTACTGGCAGCGGAATCTGTTTTTTAAGTGTGTAGCAAATAAAAAGACGTTGTATGGAAATAGAAATATTAGAAATATTTTATTCTCAATAATACATATATAAACAAGTTTATATAGTCGTCAGTACACATAAATGGTAAAATACACCACATTTGACATACATTACCATACAGCATACTCGTATAAAATTTAAAATAAAATAGGATTTTAATAGATCATAGTTGGTAATAGTAATAAAAAATATATAAAAAAATACAATATTAAAAATATTAGGTGACATGTTTCAATCTTACAAAATAATCGTTAAGTGTTATATAGACACATGTCCAGTAATATCTTTTTAATTTGATGTTTTAACTTTTTTCCTGGTAGATTACGGATGTGGGGCGGAAGTGCATTACAGAATGAAATGCCTATTGTTCGGGGTCTTGTTAATTCTAGTTCTCGTTTGGATTAGCTGATTTTTTCCTCTGGTATCGTATGTATGATTGTCTGAGTGACATGTGAAGTTTCCCAAATTATTTTTTATGGCTAGCAAGTTTCAAATACTATTTGCGAAAACAGGGTCATTAGCTAAGTTGCTTAAATAGTGGACGGCATGGTTCATAATAATTTAACAGCAGAATAGAGCGATTGCTGATTTTTGCAAGATAAAAAATCTTTGTAGTGAAGTGAAGCTAGCATTTCCCCAAGTTAGAATCCCATATGATAAATTGGAATGGAATAAGCCATAATAAGTAATATTGCTGCTTCTGTATTAATTATACAGGGTTGGGATTAAGTATGGAACCAAGTAAATATCTTTAAAACGAAAAGGACGATATTTATGAAACTTTGCAGGCAAGTACAATGACGCATAACGCATCTGATGCCATTTTTTTGTGTTACTACTGTACTTCCGGTTTCACCGAAAATACCCTCAACTTTTTTAAATTAAAGGGGACACCCTGTATATTTTTGCAGATTTTAAAAGTTTTAAACTTAGTATATACGAATTCGGAATAACAAGATCTTTTAAAATTTGCAAAAATATACAAGGGTGTCTCCTTTAAATTAAAAAGTATTTCCGGTGAAACCTTCATTGTACTACTTGCCTGCAAAGTTTCATAAATATCGTCCTTTTCGTTTTAAAGATATTCACTTGGTTCCATACTTTATCCCAACCCTGTATTTGATATTCTACGTAGAGCAAACGTGATTTGTAGTTGTTCTCCCATATCTAAAACCATATTTTTCCGCAGAAAACAGGTTGTTGTTTTCAAAGAAATGCACAATTTGTTTTACTATAACACTTTCAAGTATTTTAGAAAAACATGATAAAATATGTATTTGGCGAAACTTTTCAGGTACTGAGTCATCTCCTTTTTTTGTGGCATGGTAGAACTTTGGACGTTTTAAAAATATCTGGAAAGGTACCTTCAGCTAAACAACAGTTTAGAATCATTCCATTTAAAATCGTCTAATTGGCAAAGCTGACCCATCTTAGATTTTGGTGTAACTTCGAGGAACTATTCCTTAGGGTCTCAAAGAAGAAAATTGACACGAGTTTGATTTTTATAAGCACTCGTTTCCGCCTATTTAAATAAAGACTTTTTAAAAATCGATATTTTTAAGCCTTATCGACTTTTCTTCTGAAATTTTTCTTTTTGAATATAACTACATTATTAAAGCGGAATTCTGAGGGGGATATATAACAATGAGTACCAGATTAAGCTTTTCAATAAACGCCCCAATTATTTCACAGTGAATTTCTTTTGACATATTCTTAATTTCTGGTATCTCAGCGCTTTGTAAAGTGTTGTGAATATATATACTTACCCCACCATGGATATGTTTCTCTACAAAAAGTAGTTACGTTATTAAAATTTGTAAGATTGAAACATGTCGCCAGGTTAGAAAACAGCCAATGTTTTGAAAAGCAAACAATTTTTACGTTTGTCATGTTATTAACTAGGTTGTCTAATTGAAGTATTTTGTTTCTAATACATTGTACGTTTTTATGGAGAATGGAAATTTCTGTTTCGTCGGTATTGGTAACTTCTAAATTTTGATTCATTTGTTCCTTGTCTCTCAGGGATTCCTCAAAAAAAGTGAGTATTGGTGTTTATTCCATGATGATGTGGTTCATTCATTTATTGATAGACTACAGGATATGGAAATGCAGCAGGCTGCTACAGGGTGTAGGGTAACAATATTTAAGAAGAATAAGCTGTACTTTCCTCTATTCAAAAGATGTAGGTATATTTTAGTCCTTTTCCGTTTTTAATGATTAAGCCTGTTCAGAAATTAAGACATTTTATCTAAATACCATTTCTCTCCGGGATCTTTTCTAGGAAGAGGTGGAAGACTATCTCTCTTGGCGCCCACTGTTCTCAAAAATAATGCGTTTCTTGAAATTATTTATAACAAAAGAGCTGTGGTGTTTAATTTTTTTAATGGCGCGCCTACACGTCACATTTGCCGCAAGCCAAATTTATAATAGGCTCATTTTAAACCTTCTCTGTCTTAACTCTCTAGACTAATAACAATATGTAATAAAAAATTATGTTTTCTGTTTCAATCATCAAAATTATCCTGTGTAATATTAAAGCATTAGTTTCTCGAACACCTCGTATTTGTTTAGTTATAATGAAACAATAATTTTCATACCACCTTGTAATTTTGAAATTTTATAAGGTAATAAATAACATATTAAGAAAATGATAAAATAATGGATTGTCCAGAGCTAATTGAGTAAAATTTGTAGTAGTAATAAAAACAAAAAGAAATGTTATTTTAAATGTACTAAAAGGTTTATAAAATGAAAACGTGAACAAAATATAAAATTTACGTTGAGTGTGTTTTGGATTTTTTGTGTTTTTTTTTAGATAAAAATTACAATAAAATAATTTCAATCTACTATTAAAATCCAAGGATAAAACGAGGTGAGTCAATATTTTTTGGAAAATAGTTCACTATTCTTAAATTAAACCTACAATATATTCCACAAGGTCATAGTACATGTTCTCTAGCAATAAAATGTTTATTTCACCTGTCTAGAATAATATTGTCCTAACTCCATTTTGTAATTTTTAAAAAATACAGGGTGCTTTGCTAGTTTTAAAAGTAGCCAGCAGAACACCTGTTTTTTAAAGCTTCCTTCTAAAAACACCACACCAAAATTGCTATTTTTAGGCCCTTGAAATATTATAAAACTTTTCTAAAAAATTGTTATTTTTAAATAATACAGGGTGCTTTGTTGGAATAAAGTCAGCAGAGCACATCTTTTTATGAATTTTTTTCTTCTGAAAACAACTGTTTATGACACATTTTTAAGCTATTTTTAAAACTCTTGAAATGCTATAAAACTTTTTGAAAAAAATTATTTTTTAAAAAACTTCAGGATGATTTGCTAGCTTTGAACGAATCCAGCAGAGACCACAGTTTTTATAAGCTTTTTTTCTAAAAACAACCTCATATTTTTAGACTCTCAAAATATTATAAAACTTTACAAAAAATTGCTATTTTGTTGGAACATTTTTTTTACGTGAGATATTTTTGAGGATTTTTGACCTCAACTCCCTCCCCCTTTCCCTAATCTCACGTGAGATTTTTCAAAATTTGTGTTTTGGGTGTAAATGCATTGGATTATTACTTTTATTTAAAATTAGCAAAGACTAGTATTTAAGAATATTGTCGTAATATAGAATTTCTAGAAACATTCTTTACTTTAATTTAACTTTCACGCAATTTTACATTTTCTACTAGAAAAAATTACGTCAGATTTACAAAGACCCCCCTCTTCCCCATGTGAGACACATTTTCAAGCTATTTTTAGGCTCTTGCTCTAATAAGACTTTTCGAAACAAAAAAATATTTTTTAAAAAGATACAGTGCTAGTCTTCAGTGATAAAGATTGGGAAGTCATCTAGACACGTGCTATAGCTGGAATGGAACATGTCACAAACTGGTTGGATGTTTTTAAATTCTCTTTGAATGTTAACAAAACAAACTACATTGCTATTTCAAAGACAGTGGCTGATCGACCTCAATTTAGAAGCTTAAAATGTCAAAATTTAGACATACAGGAAACAGAAACATCCAAATATTTAGGTATAAATATATACCAGCACTTAAAATGGGACTGCCATATAATATATATAGCAAAAAACTTAGATTTTTGATTTATAAATTTTATCTTCTAAAACAATTTCTCAACCAGGATCTACTAATAACATTATACTACAGTCTAGTAAAATCTATACTTCGGTATGGAATCTTAGTATGGGGAGGCCTGTATGGAACTACATTAAATCAGTTAAATGTGATTCAAAACAAAATCTTGAAGTTAATATATAAAAGAGATAGATTGTGTCCCACCATAACTTTATATAATGAAAAAATTAGCAATGTTAGATGTTTATATATTCACGAAATGTGTTGTTATATACAAAAAATGAATTTTTAAAAAACCCTTTAGAACATAGACGTAACACTAGAACTGCATCGAAAATGTGCATTAAAGTACCAAAACCAAATAGTGAGTTTTTTAAAAACAGTGAATATTATCTAGAGACAAAGTTCTATAATGCTCTATCTCTTCATATAAAATTATTAAACAAATATAAACAAATGTAAAGTAAGCAAAATATACATTTTCCAAAATAATGCAAAGTTTATCAGAATATTCCAAGAATAACAGACTTGGATTTTTTTAAATAGTTTTTTTTCTATTTCTTGCATAAATTGTTCAAGTTTTATTTTTTATTAAAAAAAAAAAAATGTTTTTTTATTTCCTTTATAATTCATTAAATATAATTAAAATTTAATTTTAATTTTTGTCAGCACATACAGGTGTTCTCACCTAGGTGCTTTTTATTATATAATTGGTTTCCATTATTGTACTTTATTGTAACTTATTTATTATTGTAACTCATTGTAACTTATAACTAACTATTAAATATAACTATTAATTATTAAAACTACAGGGTGCTTTGCTAGCTTTGAACGAATCCAGCAGAGCACTCCAGTTTTTTAAAACTCTTTTCTATAAACAACCATACCATATTTTTAGTCAATCTTTAGGCTCTTAAAATATTATAAAATTTTATAAAAAAATGACATTTTTAAATAATACAGGCTTTTTTTTGGAACAAAGTCAGCAGATTACCTCGATTTAACTATTTTTTCTTCTGAAAATTATATATTTCGAGAGCATAAAAAACGGCGTGGTTTATTTTAGAAAAAAAAAAAAATAAAAAATAAAAAAAGTTAGGAAATATCAATTTTTTTTGGAATGTTTTATATTTTAAGAACTTGAAAATAGCCTTAAATGAAGCATGGTTCTTTTTAAGAAAAACCTTTAAAAAACAGAGGTGCTCTGCTGGCTTCGTTCGAATAAAGCACCCTGTAATATTAATAATCATCTTTATTTCAAAAAAAGTTGACAGATACAAAAAAAAAAAAACTATAACTAACAGCACAGAATGAAATGGTGTCCAAAACAAAAACAATTTTTAATTTATATTAGAGTGTAAATATTTGCTAATACTGAGGCTAATACAGTAAGGTTCTAATTCTTTTTTAAATTTATTATTTAAGAAACAGTTTTTTATTCTTAAGTAGTTTGTTGTAAAATTTTATTGCCATGTAGTATGGAGATTTTTCAGTGATTTTTAATTTATGATATGGATAATTTAGGTGATTTTTCCTAGTGTTATAGTAATGAGAAACTGTACTAATATCAAAAGCGTTTTTGTTTTTATTAAGATACATTAAGCATTTGAAAATATATAAACCATAAACAGTCAAGATGTTATTTGATTTAAGCACAGTCCTGCAAGATTCATTCATTTTTATATTATTAAGTATTCTTACTCCTTTTTTTTTGTATTAGGAATAGTTTTTCAGCACTGTGTTACTGCCCCAAAAAAATTATTCCATATCTTAGGACAGATTCAAAATTGACAAAATAAGGTATTTTAGAGGTCTCCTTACTCAGATACTTAGTGACAATTTTAAGAGTTTATCGATAATTACTCCTTAAAATTTTGTATCATCTGTTAGTTTGAAAGAAACGTCATCATTTTAATAGATTTGTACTTTTAAAATATTTGATTAAACATATTATTATTATTATTATTATTATTAACTGTTTCGGATTTTCTATTTAAAACTGTATTGTTGAATAGTATCATGTTCATTTTGGTTTCATTTAAGACCATTTTATTTGGTGCAAGTCATTCCTTTATTTTACTGAAAACATCATAACAGTGCTTTAGCACTTCAGGATATGTTCCTCCACCTGCCAGAAGGTTAGTGTCATCTGTGTACACAATTATAAATTGATAAGGGTTGAGGTTGTCCTGACACAAGTCATTCATGTATATAATAAATAACAATGGTCCAACAATACTTCCCTGTGCCATTCCTACATTTGTTGTGATTATATCTGATTTGGTTCTTTAAAAATCATAGATAATGCAAACTCTTTGCTGTCTATTTTCTAGATAAGATTCTATCCATTTCAAATAGTTTCCACTTAAGCCATATTTATCCAATTTAATTAACAGGAGTTTGTGATCAAAAGAGTCATATGCATTCGAGAGATCAATAAACATACCAAGCACCAGATATTTTTCTTCCATTAAATTTATTATATTTTGTGCTTAAATAACTATGTTGGTTATCACTAAAAAGTTTGCATTTTTCGAAAAAAAAAGTTAAAATGCTATTGCACATGGCTATTTCAAATAATTTAGAGAAACTAGGCAAAATACTTAAAAAGTAGCAATTGTTTTAGTAAAGTTTTATAACAATTTTAAGAGCCTAAAAACTGAGATGCTCTGTTACTTCATTCGAAGCTAGCAGATCACCTTCATTTTTGCAATAAATGGGGAGCATAAGATTTTTGAATCAGGTATAAAAATGGCCTTAAAATATGGCATATGTTTTAACTCAAAATTGCCTAGGAGCTCTGCTGCCTTCTTTGACATTCTAGATTAGAAGCATGCAAAATAAATAAGTCTCATTTTGAATTTTTGTTTTTAAATATATTATGTAGATCAATATTAGGTTTATGTATATGAATAGATGAAATGTAGCTATTTATAAATGACATGTTACACGTACGTTAGTTTACTTACAACTATTTCGTCTCCATCGATATTGACTACTCTGCTGCGGAAATCAACTCCTATAGTAGCTTCAGACAGTTCCAGGAATTTTCCTTCGCAAAATCTGTAGGTTAACGTTGTTTTACCTACACAGGAATCTCCAATGACGATAATTTTAAATACTTTTTCGAATTTTTTCGTTTGACTGTGGCTAACAACTGCCACTTGCTGCACACCGTTTTCTGGTACAGAATCCATATTTTTAATTAGAATAAATCATTACTTACTTAAAATAAAAATTAATTTAAAGTTTCGATATGTTTTTAAAGCCTATTTAAAAATTAGCTAATCCATTTGATAATGAAATTAAAATGTTGAATTTTACATCATAATAAAAACATGTCATAATTGTCAGTGTCAAACTTTCTGCTTCTTTCTTGTAAATCTAACCTTATCTTTAACAAATATTCAGATAGGTTTATTGGTTGCTGTATATTCGTTGTGGCAGGAGTCTAATTTAGAAGAGGCATTCTGCCACTGGTTCTAAACTTAGATTATAAATAATGTCTAGACGTGGCCTAAACTCACAGTTTTTCATATGGCCTTTACGAATTAAACAAAAATAAAATGGCTATTAAAATGAAAACCTAAATTGATATATAAAAAATTAATGCGGGGGTGATTTTGATTGTGTAAATCACCTACACTATTAAAAAAAATAGGAGAATATGATATGATGAGCTTCCGGGTAATAGTTAACAGTAATAGGGTCCTATGATTGAACGTTTACGTGATCCGTAACGTACATGTTAGGCTCAGTTTTAACAGTAATTAGGCAAGTTCGTATGATGAAAAACGGTTTCCAATACATTACTGTTATTTTCCGCCTGTTATGTTCTAATTTAACAGTTTTCCATCATACAAACTTGCTTCGTTACTGTTAAAATTCGACCTAACATGTACGTTATGGATAACATAAACGTTCAATCATAGGACCCATAAACTGGCTTCTGTTCTTAGATAACAGGTTACGCAGAAGTGTTAGGAAATAATCGTTACTTGTGAAAATGTATTTTACGTTTAATGTAAAACTTTCTTGTAATAATAGTATATTTCCTGTTTGCTATTGTCATTCATGCCGTTTCCTAATGTTGAAAATTTCCGGAGCTACCATTAACTTACTTTTCCATATCTTATTACATCCAACGTGATTCATTACTATAATGACCTGTATAATTATTTTCTTAAAATAGAAATAATTATAATTAAAATAGAATCACACGCTAATAAAATGTTTAATTTTCTCAAAAACTTAAACCAACATTTTAATTAACAGATATAAAACAACGAACAAATACTATCAGAAGAGATTATAAATAATTTAAAATGCAGGGATTGAATAGATGGCTAGGGTCTGGACCATAGAATAGAAAATGTGAATAGATGGGAAACGGTAAAATTCTGAGGTGATATGCTGCCATCTATCAAGTTGGAGCGGTACTAAATTGAATACGGCCGCCGTTAGCGGGCTTTTTGAAATGTAACTTTCTGCTAGGTGGGCAAAAATGTAATAAAGAAAATCAAACAAAAATATTTTTTTTTTGACTGATTTCAAATCATAAAACGACCATATTAACTGTTTTGTGATTTGAAATCAGTCAAATATATTGTTTATATTTTTATTTGATTTTACGTCTTTAGATTTTTGCAATAATTTCAAATTTGAAATAAAATGCAATTTATTTTATTTTTTAATATTTTTAATACAGTAAATTAATGTCTCATCACATAATTTGTCTATTTAAACATGGAAATGCTCAAATATGTAGGTACTATAGGTTGAAGAACATTTCTGCATCAGATAATTTTTATTTTATTTGTACACCATTTGTAGCTTTTCAAACTCTTATTTATCCACTGAACTTTGTAACAAATGAATCTAGCTTTCGAGCATAAAATAAACTTACACACTTTTGGACGCTTGAAAATGTTGGGGTAGGTACATTCTACTTGTTTAATGTCAATGGTATTGAATCAATTTTTGATGCCGATGGCCAAGGCTCACATATTTCATCGATATACAGGATATGTTGGGGAGCCAACATTTTCTTTACAATAGCAATGATCATTAAAAACTGAAAACAAAAAGAAATTTAAATACCAAACCAATTATTTTAAAGCTATGAAGGGAATCCAACCTCTTAAATGTGGCCATCTTCAATGAGAAAATAAAACAACTCCAATTCAATCCCACATATATTATTAATTAATCAAGGCGACCGGTTTCGGCTACCATGCCATTTTCAAGCCTATAACAAGTTGAGTGAAATTTAACAAAGTTGGTAATATTAACTAGACATATTAAGATCTTAGGTATGTATATAGCTAGTTACAACATCACGGGAGCAATGGGCTTGAGGCTCGTCATTGCGGTCATCAGTCTTTTGGAAATCCTCGACTTCATCTAATTCTAAATTGTCCTCAGATTCACTTTCAATGGTTCATTCATATTCTTCAGTTTCTTTATTTACTTTATCACGTTTCTTTTCTTTGAGAATACTTGTCGTGAAATCTTCACTTGCAACAGATTTGCCAGGTTCAATTCTTATCATCATCTTTTTCTTTGGGGTGCTAATATCAGTGTTGTTTCTATCAAAGCTTTTATTAGGCATTCTATTAAGAACTTCCTTTCTGTTACATGGGTATATTCCCGTTGCTCTAAATAAATTTTGAATGATTTGTTCGTCTTTTAATTTTATTTCTTCAATGAGCTTTTTCAATAAAAGAGGAAAAGTGCTTTTGTTTACTGTACTGTCTCGTGGATTTTTGGTTTTGTAGGTTGTTTTTATACGGCGCCAAACTACCTTTAAGGGCTTAGAGGTTGTGTCAAATGTGTTGAATTTGAGGGTAGAAAGATAAATCTAATACTGTTTCTTTGACACTTTCTAATGATTGTTATGTTTAAATGACTCGATAGATTATCTCCGATTAGAAGTTTCGGCCCATCAATTTTTTTGGCCCACGGTATAACCATTTGTGTAAACCAGTCTTCAAATGCGTATTGATCAAACCACCCAGATTTGGTTCTCTTACATATCATAAATCTTGTATTTACGACAGGTACCTATCCTAGTATTCTAAAAAACTCTATAATAACACCAGTATACAAAGCTGGAGACATGCAAAATAAAGAAAATTATCGACCAATTGCAATAACCAGCACAATAAATAGGCTGCTAGAAAAATGTATAAAACTAAGACTTAACAACCATCTAGAAGAAAATAATGTATTATCCGAAACACAGTTTGGGTTTCGTAGTAAGATGAGCACTGAAGATGCCATCCTACACCTGACTGAAAATATAACAAAAAATGTCAATGATGGTTACAAAACCATTGGTATTTTTATTGACCTTGCAAGGGCCTTTGACACTGTGGCGCACCCAATTCTGCTAAAAAAACTTGAGAATATTGGAATTAGAGGAGCTGAATGGAAACTATTTGATTCATACCTCAATGGTCGAACACAACAAACAAAAATCGGTAACAATGTAAGCTGTAAGAAAAAAGTAGAATTGGGTCTGCCTCAGGGCACGGTCCTCGCACCTCTATTATTTTCAATTTACATTAATTACCTTACAAAGATATTGCCAGAAAAAAATGGCCTCATTATCTGTTATGCAGATGACTCAGTTATATTAATTAAAGCTAAAACATGGACAGATACATATCGACTAGCAGAAAAATATATAACATTAGTTAAATTCTGGATGGATCAAAACCTTCTAACCCTAAATGAAAGCAAAACATATTTTGTACCATTTTCAATAAGTAATAATAATATTGATATCCAACCTGATATTAAAATACATACATACATACCAATCAATGCTTTAATAAGGATACAATATACAACTGCACAAAAACTATAAACTCAGCATCAAATATAAAATATCTAGGTGTTTATATTGACCAAAATCTTAAATATGATATTCATGTTCAATACATAAATAAGAAAATTAGGAAAACAATACATAAGTTTTACCAATTAAGGGAATTTATTACAAAAAAACTGCTAAAAACTATATATCAAGCTTTAGTTGAATCTAGCATAAACTATGGTTTAAAAATTTGGGGAAGTACGTGTGGTAATATCTTACACTAACACAAACATATATTCTCAAGATAATAAATAAAAAACCAAAAAGATATTCATCTGAAAGCTTATTCACTGAGAGTGGAGCTCTATCAATAAGAGAACTTTACGTAAAAAGCACCTTAAACTATATGAAATATAAAAATACTTATAAAAATTATATTCAACATAATATTAACACTAGATCCATCACCCAAGATCATGTCTATACAAACAGGGTTAAATTCCTTGCCTGCCAGAGGCATGTATCTTTTATTGGACCAAGACTCTTTAACATGTTACCGTCACATATCAAAAATATAAATATAATAAATAGAAAAATGTTTAATGTAAAAGTTTCTCACTGAATCAAAGAAAACAGTGAGACAATAATTACAAAGTTGCCTTTTTTAAAGTAAATTATTTTAAAGTTATAAATTTAAAAAAAGAAAAGTAATATCTATATAAATGATCAGTTATCTGGATGGTTAGTATTTCGTCTTTGGTATCACTCAGCTGGCGGAGATTGACGCATCAGCCTATAATTGGGTTCTGACAAGATTATTTTAATTTTTATTTATTCTATAATTATTAGAAAATTATTTTGTATTTTATATGTATTATTATGTTAAATTGATAGGTAAGTATCCCAATGACTGTGGATGTACTCTCGACAAGTCACTCGTGACTTAGAGAATCCATTCCAAACAATGTACTTAATGTACTTAATATGTACTACTTAAATTATGTAAAATAAACGATTTTGAATTTGAATGAGTTCCAGGGAGTCGTCCCCCGATACACCAGGAATCAAATAATTTGCAGCGGCAGCAAACATGACGGATATTGAGGACTTTGTCAAGTTCATAATGCGTTCAGGGTATTTAATCCCTTTTCTAAAAATACATTTTGACGATCCAGGATCGTCTATCAGATTGGTCTCGTCGTAGTTAATGATGGAACCAGGTGGAATTCCTGTCACATTTCTTTCTAAATTATCAAAGTAATTGTTCATTTCCTCACCTGTTTTCTCAGCTCTTGCTTTTTTAATATTTTGGCACTGTCTGTTGGATAATTCATGTTTGTGTCTATAAATAAAATTTTTGCACCATTCTACAACTGATAAATTGTCTTTGAACTTCTTTAGGCGGACATCTTCTTTGTCTAAATGACTCTTCAACATTACTCGCAATTCTATCATGGTTAGGGGGCAGCCATATTCGGAGCTGCGGCTATTATAACGTCCTCAATGGACCATTCAATATCCGGGGCGATTAGC